CACCAGTTTTGTAGCTTCCATTGATCGTCAAGTGTTCGTTATTCTCTAGGTTCAAGATTTCCGATAGATAAATACAACTGCTTCAAAGGCAAACTTTGTTGAACGATTATTTGAATACCAACAGTAATAGAAACCAATCTAATACAAGTAATTACATAAACCACATTTACGACTTTGCATCGAACTTCCCTAGAAACCTGACTGTAAACCTAATCTGTAAACCCGACTGCGCAAGACCTAAAAATAGCCTAGATATTTTAGCTAAGGTACAATATTTTTTTACAATCCTCTATCCAACGATTACAAATATAGCATGGTTAACAATAGTTAAGATAACAAATAATTTCGCGCAATTTGATCATTCCGGCGGTTATAACATTAGCCCCACCTTAGTCCCTAACGTAAACATTACTTTTTTATTTCGATGAATAGGGGATAATCTATTCAAATGAACAATTTTTATCTGCGCCGTAGGTTGTACAATAGGGTGGTTACAACGCTATATGTAAAAAAAAAATTTCGAAATCTTATCGGGGGATCCCCCTAAATTGTGCCACTTGACTAAAAAATGACATTTGTAAAGTTTTAACTCAATTGGATAATGTTAACCTGTGCCTCATCAAGGTTGAAATTTTGAAAAATTGGAAAATTTTGAAAAAAACGCAGTTTTTGGTTTGTAAAATAAAAACGGTTCACTCTAGAAACATGATTTAAGTTTTATTTTGTTCATTGATTAGTTTTCTTCAAATGTTACTATGATCACTATTTAGCTACAGTTATAGTTTCTGACATATTTGCATTGTTACAGATACACATTGAAAAAACGTTGAATTTCTCCATAACACAAAAACACACAATAACTTAATTTGTTTATAAAGAAATGTTTTTAAAATAACACCGTTGTATCTAAATCACTATTATTAACGAATAAACACATTTTTTATTCATGTTATATTGTTTATAGTTGTTATACATCAAATAAATTTCTACTTTAACTCATTGTTCAAAAGGTAGAGGCTCGGATAGGATGCTTTTGAGCAACCAGGAAATTTTGTCCGACACTCAGCAATTACTTGTAAAAAATATTGTTTTTGATCTTCCTCTTTTGTAATACATGAGTTGTAATCTGTTATTAATTTAACACCCTTTTCTGCTGTATCATTTGTAACTTTTAGTCCGTCCACAATCTTTTTACTCTTTAAATATTCTTCGTTATTACTCCACAATTCTGGATTGGTATGCAAAAGTTGATCATTAATATTAAATCTTTTTAAAAAAATTACTTGATTGTGATGAAATAAAATGGTCCGTATTTTTGTCCAATATTTCTGATACTTCATTTATTTTTATTAGTGGTTTCATATCACAGTAGTCATCAAGTTCTTCATCCTCATTTGTTGAGATATTAATTTCGTTGTCACTCTCTTTTTCACACAATTACTTAATGAATCATCAAATAATGAAAAACAGCTTGCTTTGGATTGAGGTACTATATGTGGTTGATAAATTTTGAAACTGATAAATTTGAGATAAATTTATTGACTTTAATGTAATTTACCAAAGATTTCAACAATTGTAAATCTTGGTTTGGAGCAAGTGCAGGTTTCGGGGCATCCAACCACACTTTCACATAAATATTTAAAATATATAAGCAAATATCATGGAATCCTTGTTTTTCAAAAATTGTCAGTTGAAATTGTTCTCTGAAAAAATATATTTTCAACGAATATATCGCTTTTGCCATCCACCTTGCGTGATGAAAAGCACCAGGAGCCGCAAACACGATGTTTTCTGACGGAAAGCGTTCTAAAAATATAAGACAAAGATTAATCAATTTTTTGTAATCGCTCCTTGGATGAGGAACTGTTAATTGTTCTAGAAGATAACTTGAAATTTGACCCGGATTAATCAATTTGCTGGCTACACTTTTATCTTTAACTCCTGATTTAAATTTTTTTTATCAATGTTGTTCCATTCAGTTTTAAATTTTTTGAAAATATCCGATTGAGGGCCTGTAGTCTTTCCCATCAAAGAATCAAAAACGGATCTCAACACTAACTCCAAAATATGGTGGCGACATGGAAGATACAAAAATTTTTTCTCCATCAATTGCTCTAATAAAACGCAAGCACATTTAATGCGGTACATTTATATGTTATATCATAGTAACATTTGAAGAAAACTAATCAATGAACAAAATAAAACTTAAATCATGTTTCTAGAGTGAACCGTTTTTATTTTACAAACCAAAAACTGCGTTTTTTTTTCAAAATTTTTCAATTTTTCGAAATTTCAACCTCGATGAGGCACGGGTTAGCATTATCCAATTGAGCTAAAACTTTACAGATGTCATTTTTTAGTCAAGTGGCATAATTTAGGGGGTTCCCCCGATATAATTTTGAAAAAAAATTTCTTGTGACCACCCTATTGTACAACCATACCGGGTTGAGAGAATACCAAACCAAGAAGAGCAGTGAGCAGGAGAAGAAAACAATAGTATTCATTTTGATAGGCTGGATACGTGTTTCGACCCTACCGGGGACTCATCAGCAACCCGAAAACCTATCAAAATAGTTAACGCAGTTTCTTATAAAGCCCAAACAAATACTTCGTTAGTTCTTGGTGTTTTATTTATTAGTCTTTTTGTCGCTAGGATTTCAATCCGACACTCTTAAACCTGGTTTATTCTTTTCAGGTCATGCCACGTTCCCATTGTTGTGGTTCTTCTAGCCATAGGCATACGTCGTGGTCCTATCTTGATTTTGGCTTCACTTGAAACAATAGCTTGCTTTCTATTGATTTTGCGATATAATGATAATGATTTTGTATAATGACCAGACCGGTATTTTGATGTATATTGTAAGATTCGTGGTTGACATCTTTCCTGTCGATCAGTGATGTGGCAATGAAAAACTCATCCTCATCAGCTATGAAGCCATCGTTAATATCATCATCCAGATAGAAAAGAACTAAGCTTCATTCCACGTGCGTAGTGGAAAGGTCATCACAAAACTTGAATCATTGTCAGTCCCCAATTCTTGAACTGAATGTATACTACATCAGAATCATCTTCACCGACGTCGTTAATCTCTAGATTAATGCTTTTCCAGAATTGCGCCTTCATTTTTTTTGATTCAGTTGCTTTCATTCAATTCGGCGAGCTGTTGTTCGATCTTGTCGTTTTGTTGTTCCACAGGATCTGGAAAATCGAACTCATCCGGTTAGATTTTTTTCTTTTATTAGAGCACCAGTGTTGTAGCTTCCAACGATCGTCAAGTGTTCGTCATTCTGTAAGTTCAAGATTGCTGATAGATGAATACAACTGCTTTAAACGCAAATACTTATACGTTTATTTGAAGACTAACAGTTATAGAAACAATAAATTAATCCAAGTAACTACATAAATCACATTTACGACTTCGCATCGAACCTAACTAGTTCGATGTAAACATAATCTGTAAACCCGACTGCGCATTACCTATATATAAATAGTCTAGATTTATGGCATAGATAAAAATTTTTACAATCCTCTATATAAAGATTACGGTTTTAGCATAGATAAAAATTTTTCCAATCCTCTATCCAAAGATTACAAATACAGCTTAGTTTACAAAGATAACAAATTATATCGCACAATTTTATCATTCCGGCCGTTATAACAATATGTATAGTATACATATTTATATAAATATAAATACATGTATACATATATGTATACGCTGGAAGGAGACCTTAATTGAGACAATATTTGATAAAATCTACAAAATTTTTGGCTTTTGAAAGTTTCAAGAGCAAAAAGTTGGGTAGATTTTATCAAATATATGAATACATCATTTTTTTTGTGTATGTGTTTTCTGGTATTTTATGCATATATATACAGGTTGTCTTCTATTATATTTTATGTGTATCTTTATTGTATCTTAAGTGTATCTAATATCAAAAATAAGCATGAAAAATATAATGTGTTGGTGGTCATTAGACATACCCATGGATATAAATATTATCCACTGACATACCTAAAGAAGTGAAGCCGCCGAGTCATTTTTTCTGCCTTGAAAGATTTTTTAGAGAAATTCTTAGGATCGCCTCGACGAAATTGTGAGGTGAGCAGTTTTATTTAAAAAGCCGTATTTATTAATTTTTTTATTATAATATATTTATAGTAATAAGTAATGTAATTAAATATTAAATGATTATTTTTTTAGTTAGTTATTTTTATTTGATTGGTTACTATTGTGATTGTCTATTGATCACACATTTTTTATAAGATGTTTCCATTATATATAATATAATATATATATTATATATATAATATTATATATATTATATACAAAATTATATTTTGTAGAAAATAACTATAATTTTCTTAATTTTTAACTAAAAACGCGTTAAAAAGAGCCAATGAATCTTGGCACCCTAGGTATGTTTTGGTTTATAACTTTATTTATAAAATCAAAATTTATTATATTAATACAAAAAATTAACTAAGTTAAGTTAACTAAGTAACATTTCTTTCATTTAATTAATGTTATATAAATGCTACATTTTTTTAAAGTGTAGAAGCTCACCGAAAATGCCTTATGCTAACCAGCCCACAGTTTCAGTTAGTGAATTGACAGATGAAAATATCAAATTTGTATTGGAGAATACAGATTTAAGGTTGGTGAACAGTTTTTAACATTCATTTTGTGTTAGTCATTGAAAATACTTTAGCAACTAATTGTAAGTTAGTGAAAGTTATACCTATTAAAAGGTTAAAGGTTACTCTCTCTCTCTTTTGCGTTAGCTTCAGAGGTTTCAACACACACAGCGTATATGAATACGCGTGCAAACCACGCATCATACACATTGCATATGATAGGCGGGGATCTCTTTGTATTCAAACCCAGTCATCGCAATAGCAAGACCAGGCGCCTTTAAACATTGAGCTATCACACCATATTATATAGTACATGCATCTCTGTTCACAAATATTTAAAGTAGTTAAAATTAATTTGTAATTGTTAATTGTTAATACATACGTTTTTGTTCATATGTATATATTAGAATATTTGGTAAATTGATCTAATATTTGACTTGATGAACACCATTGAGCAAACATGGGTGTAGTATATTTATAGTTTATATTTGTGACTTTATATAGTTGCACTAAAGAAATTTTACTGTTATAAAAAGCTTTGACATGTTTAAATTTATGATTCATTTGCTAATCTGTGTTGTAATTTTATCGTAATTTTATAATTTTAAACATTCTTTCAGTGTTGCCAACTCAATTAGAAGAGTATGCATTGCGGAAACTCCAACACTGGGTTTGTATACAATTTTTTCAAAACCTATTTTAACCACATTTTATTACTTCATTTTTCAGAACCAGAATATTTTTTTTTATTTATCGTCAATTGTTACTTATAATTATTTTCACGTAACTCCATTGTCTCTCACCAAACAATGTATTAACCTTGTTTGTTGCTATTGAAATGTTTATTGAGCTCATTAAATGACTCAATTGTTTATTCAATGTGTTTTAAATATAAAATTGCTCAATATTTTTAATTTTAACTTTATTGTTCCAAGCAATCGATTGGATCCAAATTGAATCAAATTCAACTGTACTGTGTGATGAATTCATAGCACAGCGAATAGGATTGATACCGCTGACATCCGACGACGTTGTCGATAAGATGCAGTACCCGAGGGTTTGCCAATTTTTTACATTTGTCAATCTGCACAGATCGAAATTTTAAAAATCGAAAAGATGTTATAAATGTTTTGCTAAAGTATGAAACAAAAAAGCTTGATCAGCAGCACATGCTTTGTTAAATATTGCTTATCACATTTTCATGATGCTAATAAAAATGCAACAATATTTTAGGATTGCAGTTGTGAAGAATTTTGTCCCGAATGTGCAGTTGAATTTTCTCTCGATGTCAGGTGCACAGACGATCAAACAAAACACGTTCACACAGGTCATTTGATCAGCAGCAATCCAAAAGTTGTCCCGGTATGTTGATGCAGTCTTCTAATTTTAGATTATATTATTACATTTTTCCATTCTGAAATATATTGTATTTATTTACTAATTTTTTGTCTTATTTATTTTATTTATTTGTTTTTTAGGCAACTTCCAGACACAGAGATGAAGATGGAGACTATGGCGACAATGAAGGTATATTATGAATGAATGTCAACGTTTATGAATAAATTATTATGTTTTGAACAATTCCTCATATTTTCAACTCTTTTTCTTCACAGAAATACTTATAGTCAAGTTGAGAAAAGGACAAGAATTAAAATTGCGTGCAGTTGCAATCAAAGGTTTTGCAAAGGAGCATGCTAAATGGAATCCAACTGCTGGAGTGGCGTTTGAATATGATCCTGACAATGAGTTCAAGCATACTGTCTACCCTAAACCTGAAGAATGGTTTTTATCATTCAACTGACGTTTTTATATTGGAAAAATTAATGCAACTCTTATTTTTATAATTATAATAATAATTATTATTGTAACACTTATTTTTTTAGGCCTAAAAGCGAATTTTCAGAACTTCCAGAAGACGTCTGTAAGTAAAAATTGAATGAAATTTCAATCTTAAAATCATTGTTGTAAACTTGCAAGTTAATTTTCTTGATACAACTTTTAATGTCCAATGCCTTTTCTGACTTTTTTACTACTTTGATACTCTTCCATTAGCTCCACATTTATTTTATTCAAGCCATCACCACTATCTTCAGTCACCACAATATTTTTTGTTTTAATCTAATTTGGTTGAAAAATAATAATATTTTTAATTTATGTTAATTTTAGATGAAGCTCCATTCAACTATCAGTCAAAACCACACAAATTCTACATGAACATTGAATCCTGTGGCTCCCTAAAACCTGAAAATATTCTCATGACGTCGTTAAGCGTTTTAAAGAAAAAATTGAGTGATTTACAAACTCAGTTGAGTCAAGAAATCCAAGGAGACGCTCTTGCAATATGAATGTTTTTTTTCAGTACGGATTGATTTATTTACAGTTTAATTGTCGAATTTATTAATGATAAAATTTTAATTTTGTAACAATAAAAAATTTTTGTAGAATGTAGTTAAATTGATAAGATTAGATATACAGTTCTTCACTTTCTTTTTTTCGTGATGCTCGGCGTGTTGGCTTCATCAGCTGTTCTTTTCTTTTTCGTTTCGTCCTCCTGCAATGGTTGGTTATGTAGTGCGTCTATCAATCAATATAATAATAAGTTATCTGTATGTTATTATTATGAATTTTTAAAAGCGCGAGGTTTTTTAAAAGTTGTTGATGGCGCGGCGTTGTGACGATGTCTCGAGAAAGATAGGTGTTGCGTTGAGATATAATCTAAATCTGGTAATACGAAGCCAGGTCAGCGCAAGCAGGCGCCAACGACTTTTTCGTTTCATAGATTTGCATAAAATTTAAGCATGATCAGTTTTTTGTCTACTCAGTTACTCATTTTCTTTTTTTGTAATGCTAGACGTGTCGGCTTCTGTTCTTTTCTTTTTCGTTTCATCCTTCCGCAGTGATACATAATCACTGACGGGCCTCTCTTTGACTATTGAAATTTTGCTGATTGTGCACTGTTGAAATTTAGAGCGCAAATCAGACTGGAGAAACTTTCCTTGGTATGTATTTGTCTATCAATTAATCCGGAGCAAGATTTTTTACTCAATATAAACATTAACGAATTGTTAGCCGATGCAGGTTGATAAAAATGATAAATATATCCTTTCAAAAAGCACTTATGAATATATATATATGTATACATATATATAAATATTCATAAGCACTTTTTGAAAAGATATCAAGAGGGCAGACAACAATCAAATGGTCGTTGGCAGGGGAGGCCTGTCAGAGATGGTGGCCACTGAAGATAATATTAAATAATTTTATTGATTGTTCGGATTCACAAAAGATCCAAGTGAAACGAGAATACGAAGTTTGCGAAAACATCAGAGTGAAACTGTATGTTTAGAAAGTCATATATAAAGATTCATTAGAAATGGAAATAAAATCCAAAATATTTTATGGGAGGTATGCGTTTTGAGAGTGAAATCTTTTTAGATGGAATAAGCATAAGAGCTAAAGAGTTTGACTCACTGATTTCAAAAGGAGAAGTATGTGGAACATGTATTAAAAGCTATATGCTGCATGACTGTATAGGTTTACAGTTTAATGAGTTTCCATAAAGAAATTAAGATGAGTTAGCAAACAAACGCATAAGCAGAGAACGAGCAAACAGTTCACATCATATCGCTTTCTTATCGTTAGACAACTTCTGGGTTACTTTTCAACAACATATGGTTATATAGTTTACTTTACGCTTTTATTAAAAAATATACACGATAGAACTGTAAACTAGACAATTATGTTTATAAAAATCTTAGAAACAATGGAATTTAGTGTCTGGAGATGGCGGTAGTAAATCTTTGGCATTTAAATTTGTTAATGTTCTTAAGGATTGTGTTTATGGAACAGTGCATTGATGAGCCAACGAGATTTGGAAATTTGCAAAAGCAGAATATATTGGATTTGCTGCACAAGACAAAGATTTTATACATCCTCCTATTGGAAAAAATGATCACAGTATTTAGTACGTGGTGATTTGATCATGCTATAGCATGCAATGCATGCAAAAGATAGAAGAGGATTCCCCGATATACCAAGAGCAGATCATCGTACAAGAGGTCATAGTCTGAGAATCAACACTTTGCCATTTAGTAGCAATTTGAGAAAAAACTATTGGTACATCAGAAAATTAAACATTTGAAACAGTTTGAATGAGGATGTTGTTAACGCTTGTGGAGTGAATGGGTTTTAAAAAATGTTGGATGGTGCCTTGATGAATGTTGATTTTAAATTTGATTGGAAAGCTGATATTGGTTTATAGATTTGCTTGACTGTTAATTAATGTTTTTTTTATCATTAATTATGTTTTTATTCTTATCTATTATTTTTATTTATTATTATGTTATATTTTATTTGATTTACGTTAAAATGACATTATACAATTTATGTTTATTTATGTGGGCATAGCGACATTATGTTTTTGCCCATTTTTGTTCTTGATAATAATAATAATGTAATAAACCTTGTCACTTGCTGCAACATCTGATCTTCTTAATGTCCGTAAAAGTTTCGGTTCAGTACTTACCATCATCTGGGTGCTGACAAATTGCTGAAAACAAAGCATAAAATTATTTCAAATTTTTTTTATAACCTGCTAAAAAAATGGTCCATTTTAAAAGATTAAATTTGCAAACAGTAAGGGGTCAAAAGTTGAAAGTCTAATTTTTTTTCATAAACCTACTTCAATCTGCGCCATCGAATCTTTATACATTTCCAAAGCCATTTTGTGAACGTCATGAGAGGAGTGATTATACATTATAGCATTGGTGAACATCAGCATCATGTCACGTTGAAATTCACTGGTCGTTCTGATCACCCCAATGTCTATATTCTTGCGGATTGTATTCAAATCCATTGGTCTGGCGAGAGCAAGAGCCGAGCAATAGTTTGAAATTTGACCAACGCGGATATTTAAATTAAATACCAACAATTTAAATGTGTACAAATTTAAACTTTTTGTACTTGCTATTGTTTATTTATTAAAAATTTTTGCCATATATAAAGTTATGAAATGACAAAGAGTTAAAAACAAACTTGAAAATTGTGGTGTGATATCCAGGTGCAATGTCTTCAGTGACCGGATGCATGAAAATATTGGCAAACCTATAAAACAATGGAATTTAAGAATCAAACTTAGATAATGCAATTTGGAATATAGGGAGAACGTGCTAATCTAGAAGAGAAACAAGACACTAACAAATCGCAATTAATCAGCATTACCTTACATCTTAAAAAACATTTTCAAGTCAGTGTTGTGAGCTACCCGGCCAGCATGCTCAGTGTGTGTGTGTGTGTGTGTGTGTGTGTGTGTTTGTTTATCAGTTATCAGCAAAATTAATTAATGTAATGGCAATCAAATTTTAGCTTTTCCGTACAGTGGGGGTTTACAACTTTTAGCAAAAAATTCAGATTTGGTTGGATGGTACCAAATTAAACTTATAAGAAATTATTAATCAGCGTTGCGTGGCCAAACCCATCATAAGTTTTTTGTTCAAGTGATTTCCTAATACACTGATTCTCAATCACTTCCTTTATTTTATCCTTGTCCTGGTTATGACATTAAACTGACCCTCACTGCCTTGTGAGTGATGTTGGATCATCAAAGGCTAGGCCCACCGCTTATAACTGTGGTTGCGTAAGGAAGGGCGTCCTGCGTAAAAACTAGCCAAAAAATAATACTTATGATGACGGAAATAACAATGGCTAGCCAAAAAATCTTTTTAGATGGAATAAGCATAAGAGCTAAAGAGTTTGACTCACTGATTTCAAAAGGAGCCAAAACTAGCCAAAAAATAATACTTATGATGACGGAAATAACAATGGCCCTCAGTATTCGGCAGAAGAGGGTGTGAAGAATCTTCGGAGACCCAGTCCATGGGGTTGTGGTGCAGGGCACCCCACTCTATAGTGTGGCGGTGCAAGGCACTATAGATGGAAGGACTACTTGTAGATCAAGGGGTTGGAGGTTTGGTACCTGGAATGTAGGCACGTTGACAGGAAGAAGTTTGGAAGTGTGGAGGAGCTGCAGAGGAGAATGGTTGACGTGGCTGCATTACAGGAGATCAGATGGAAGGGTGAGGGTACAAGGTTTGTGGAGGCTAAAGGTGGAAGATATAAGTTGTGGTGGAAGGGGGATAATGGTACTGGAGGAGTTGGTGTGATGGTAAGAGAAGAGTTGGTGGAGAAGGTGTTGGAAGTGAGGCGGAGAAGCAATGGTGTAATTGTGGTGGTGATGGTGTTTGGAAAAGTAATAGTGAGGGTGATATCAGGATATGCTCCGCTAATAAGTAGGAAGGAAGAGGAGAAGGATAGGTTTTATGATGATGTGTCTGACGAGATTGGGCAAGCGGGGTTGGATGAGTTTGTGGTGTTGTTGGGTGATTTGAATGGTCATGTGGGGGCGGATGCAGACGGATATGAAGGTGTACATGGGGGGTGGGGATATGGTATACGGAATGAGGAAGGGCGTACAGTGTTGGAGTTGGCGGATGCACATAGCATGGTGGTGGGAAATACCTGGTTTACAAGGGAACCAGCGCGATTGATTACATATAGGTCAGGGGAGCATAGGTCAATGATAGACTATATATTGGTAAGGGCCAAACATAGAAAGTATGTGAAGAATGTGAAGGCGATACCTGGTATGCTGCAGCATAGTATGGTTGTGATGGATGTGACATCAAAAGAAATGGGGAGGAGGAAGAAGGATAAGTTTGTGGCAAAGAGAAAGACATGGAAGTTGCAGGATGCAGAGGTGAGTAAGGCATTTGAAGTGAAGGTGGCTGAAAATTGGGAAAGTGGTAAGGATGGAGATGTTTGGGAGAGATACAGGGACTGTGTGTTGGCTACGGCAGATAAAGTATGTGGATGGACGAAAGGAAAGTGTAGGCATGGTGAGACGTGGTGGTGAGATGAAGATATAAGAAGGGTTTGGGAAGTCAAGAAGGAGAGGTTTAGGGTATGGAGAAGGGACATGACGGAGGAAGCGGAGTCTGAGTATAGAAGGGCTAAGAAGGTTGCAAAACAGGCGTGGCAACTGCAATGACGAAAGCATCAGATAGGTTAATGAAGGAAATGGAATTTGATGTGAGTTCGAGGAAAATGTTCAAAGTAGCAAAGCAGTCAATGAGGGGTAGGTAGGGAATGAATGTGTTTGGGATGGATCTGGCAAGTTGTGCATAGATGAGGAGGAAAAAGCTCAGGTGTGGAAAGCTCATATGGAAAGGTTGATGAATGAAGAGAATGAGTGGGATAGAGATGTGGAATCCGCGGTCACACACGGACCTATAGAGAAGGTGACGATGGAGGAAGTAGAGAAAGCAGTTAGAGAAATGAAACTAGGTAAGGCGACAGGGGTTTCGGAAGTGGCGGCAGAACATATAAAAGTGAGTGAGGTGATAGGAATTGAAGTTATGATAAGAATTGCTAACAGTATGTTTGATGATGAAGGTATATCTGAGGATTGGCGACACAGTGTGTTGGTGCCGTTGTATAAGGGCAAAGGAGATGTGAGAGATTGTGGGTCATATAGGGGTGTGAAATTGCTAGAGCACGGAATGAAGGTAGTGGAGAGGGTGCTTGAAAGGAGGTTGAGAAATATGGTGACAGTTAATGAAATGCAGTGTGGGTTTATGCCTGGTAGGGGAACGGTGGATGTGTTGTTCATGGTGAGAACGTTGCAGGAGAATTATAGAAAGAAGAAACGAAGATTGTACATGTGTTTTGTGGATCTAGAAAAGGCTTTTGATCGAGTACCGAGGAAGGTCATTGAATGGGCGTTGAGGAAGAAAGGAGTGAATGAGAGACTTGTTAAAGCTGTGATGCAGCTGTATGAAGGGGCAAAGACAAAGGTGAGGGTTGGAAGGGGGATGTCGGACGCTTTTAGTGTTAAGGTAGGAGTGCATCAAGGATCAGTGTTATCACCGTTTCTGTTTGCAATTGTGATGGATGTTGTGTGTGGAAACATAATGGAGGGGTTGTTATTTGAGATTTTGTATGCAAATGATTTAGTCTTGATGGCTGATAGCATGGAAGAATTGCAGTTGAAATTTGACAGATGGAAAA